TGGAACGTCTGGCAGCAGCAACACGATCGGCCGAGCAGGAACGCTCCGAGCTGCAGGCTCAGTACCAGCGCAAACTGACCCAGGCCCAGCAGGACAGAGACCGCGAGGTGGAGAGGCTCCGAGACCTCCAGAGGTACAGCGAGAAATGTTGAAAGATGCGAAGTCTGGGACACATTTTAGTCAGGATCTCTTGCCAACACTTACAGTTGACAATATCACAGGTGTTTAATACTCCAGAGATCAACCATCACAAGAGTTTCTGAGTCAACCTTACATTCTATAGAAGTGCATGCCCCCTCCATGTACTATGTATATCATTTTCACAGCATTGACCCAATTTTTTGTGTGTTGTGTAAAGTCTATACGAAATCAGAATAAGGTCAACATCAGGTCTGCAAACACAGCTGTTCCTTCTCTACACACAATGCCTATTATTGCAAATGTTTAAGCTGCGAGGGCAGGCCCAGTACATACGTAAACATTGCATTGGATTTTAAACCATTATTGTATTGTATAAAGTGTGGGGGAAACTTCTGAAGCAATTAGAAACAGGACTCAGAGAGACACGAGGAGAGCTGGAGCTTTGATGGCAAACACTGACGGTTTATTTGGAGCTTCGGCCGGAGAATTCACAAGACATGTCACGGGCCACGGTCTGACCACACGGTTCAATCAATTCTGAAGAAACCTTCTTCTCGTAGAGGTTTGAACTAGTTTGGATGAGGGTAATCAACATTCTTCACTAGATAGACTAAACAGCTGGGGACACTGAATTACTTTGCAGTTGACGCTTATGGCCTCGAAGATTTCACACCTTGGGTTCATCAAACGGAAGAAAGTGTTCCATACGTCCCCATAACAATAAACTATCTCTGACCGAAAGTTGCCCAGTCATAAACTGGTAACAACAACATATGGCTAAGAACCCCCTCCTTAAGGGAGATAACAGATACCAAGGTTGGTCATCTGCGTCAGAGGGCAAAAGGTCAACATCTATGGAAGTGATTCCCTGACATAAAGCACTTCTATTGGGAGTAAAGAAGCCCTAATTACAGTAAGTGATTATTTCACACTAGCCAGTAATATAAAAATGTATTCAACACATGCTGACTGAAAGAAAAATACAAACAAAGGGATTAGATCATTGTTCCATTTGAAGCAAAAGACAGAAACCTAGTAATCAGATCACTCGGCTTAGTCTTCATATTGCATAATGCGATTTAATCTTCCTGCACATTCGGGGCCTCATTCAAGAGGCACGTTCACCGAGTTATCTGGGTAGACTAGCAGAGTAATACCCATAATCCCCTCTTATCTGGAATGTGGACAGATGTCTAAAGAACTAACTTATTGAAAAAGAACCACATTTTTCCGATAACTAAGCAAAAAACCCATCTTACAATAAACGTATTAGTTGTATTATAAACAAATGACCGAAGCTGACTGTATTTTCTCCGTTAAGGAAATCTGTCTTGGAGATGAAGAAGGACCACGAAGACCAGGTCAAGAGACTAAAGAAACTAAAGGAGGAGGAGATTGATGCTGTAACAAGCGCAACATCACAGACCAGGTTAGATGGAAACGAATGACACTGCGATACATACTCTTATTAACACTAGTAGTATGTTCCATGTGTGTTTGTGTGAAATCAGTGCAGATATTTTGAATACACTATGTTGGAAGAGTTACGTTGTTATTTCACCTTGAAAAGTGAGTCTAGAATTATTATTTTTCTTATTTTCTGTATTTAAGCAGATTTGCAACACTAATCAACCAATCTTATTCAGGGTCTTTTGTGATTTGTGCAACATTACTGTAGTACAACTGTGTTTCCTTGGTCCAGGTCCCTCACGGGGGTGATTGAGCAGATGGAGCAGTTCTCCTCTCGGCTGGGGGATCTCTCTTCCCGGGTGGAGAGCACACATGAACACACGGCGCAGGGCCTGGAGCAGGGGGCACGGCACCGAGACGAGCAGCTTCGAAGTACATCACACACACATAAACGTGCACACTTTGTTCAAATGGGTCAAAACACAAGTTGGCTAACAGCATACTGTGGTTGGTGTCGCATTGCAAGTGGGTTAAGGTCATTCTCTAAATGCTCGTTTCAGTGATGCAGGAACGTCTGGCCCAGCAGCAGAAGGCCATGGCGGAGGAGAGAACGTACCTGAAGGAAATAATCTCCAGGATGGACTCTCAGCTCAATGAGCAGCAGAGACAACTTGAGAAGGTCAGGGTCAATCTGTAGGATTAAGCATTACACAAGTGCATACATAAAGTACACACGCTTGCAATGAAGATTGATACTTTCCCCTCACCAACCAGGTCTGGGAGGGTTTCTTTAAAAATGTCTTTGTTTACAATTACTAGTAACCTGTAGAACAGTGTTTCTCAAACTTTTTCATACCAAGGACCACTTAACCAATAAAAATTGTGATATTTGATTTTATCAAAAATTAATTAATTTATTCATTTATTTTATTTTATTTTATCAACTCCACAAATATCCAAAAACACATCGTTTTTCTAGAACAGATTACAAATCGCCTGAAAATGGTACAAACAAGTGGCAACATGTTTGATGAAGGTGTTGCGCTGGGCTATATCATGCAATCGAAAGTTAAACTTAAGCTCGCTCCATTGCGGAGATATTCCCGCGAGAGTGCGGAAAACTTAAATTAATTTATTTCCAATATGAAATGTTACCAATATACTCACGGACCACTAGGGGGCGCTCACGGACCACCAGTGGGCCGCGGACCACACTTTGAGAAGCACTGCACATAAATGTAATGTCACCTTACTTACCGTTACTTTTGGATTACCTTAAAATCAAATGCAATGCAAAAATAACCCTAATCATAACCCTAAAGAAAACAAATTGCCTTTTAGGTTTAGTATAATGCATGAATTTAAAAGTATTTTAAAGAGTATTTTTGTTTAACAAATCAGGTCTCCAGCTACTTGATTTAAAAAAAGTCAAAGGTATTTGAAAAAAGTCTAAATGAAGACCAAAAAGCAGATGTATGTACTTTTTTATGTAACTGTAAGTTAGTACAGTTACTCCCCTTGTCTGTCAACAACTGACAATAGGACTTTATTGTTGTATTTCTCAGGACCGCTGGAAGATGACAGCCGAGCAGGCCAAGGCAGAGTCTACCCAGAGAGGGCTGGAGGGAGAGCGGCACGCCCTCAGTTTGCAGATCAACATGGAACGAGAGGAGCTGGAGAGAGCTAAGGTGAGCCAGGTGAACATCCACATCAAACTCGAATCAATGCGTGGTTCCTTCTTACGTCTCCTGCGTGTCTCCGTGTTCCATCAGAGTGCACTCCTGGAGGAGCAGAAGTCGGTGATGCAGCACTGTGCGGAGGAGAGGAGGAAGCTGGCTGCTGACTGGACCCACTTCCACGCCCTGGAGAAGCAGAGGCACGAGAGGGCCGAGCGGGAGGTCAGCAGTCTGTTGGAGAGGAGGGAGGGCTCCATCATAGGTCTGGCACAGGTGATGGTCCTTTCAGTTAAAAACTAATGTTGTCATTGTGTTTATTATGTGGTTCATTTATTAACCTTCCAGAACTCTTAGGTGTTCTGGGCCAGGTGCTTTCTGTCCTCAGTCAAGAGAGAGAATGAGCTTTTAGTTATTATTCTCCATATATCTGGAAAAAACTACCAGAAAACGGCAGGTCCGCTGCAACTCAAACTACTTTTGAATCAAGATTTAAGAACATTCATTTTTTAATAAATCAAACTACTTTGTAACTTCGTATTCTATCTGAGTTTGTTTCTATTCATTCCTCTTTTCAATGCCTGTTTTTTTTAATGTATTTTAAAGTAATTTCAATAATTGAATCATCTTAATACTTAAATGTTTGTAAAGCACTTTAAAATGCTATGCCTTACAGTAAAATAATGTAATGGGGGTATATTCAAGAGTACATTTTGTTGAGCTCCCTGGGATAGACGGGACACTAAAGGACATAATAAATGTACTTTTCTCTTGTAGGAACAAGCGGACTTAAAGCTTCACACCGGGGAGCTGAAACAGAAGCAGATGGTTGTGGCACAGGAGAGGGAGACTCTGGAAAGACTGAGAGAGGAACTGGACAGCGAGAAAGACAGAATCAGCAGCACCGCGCTGAGACTCAAGACACGAGCCCAGGAGGTGGAGGCCTTCAGCAAGGTACATTAGCACCGTGATTCTTAAATGAAGTGCAGGAAACAATGTGCAATATCTTGAGTTTGGACAATGCATGCTTTCTACAGCTTGCTGCAGAGAGGTTTGAGGAAGGAGAACGAGCGTTGCAGGAGGCAAAACGAGTGGAGACTGACCACGAGGCGAGACTCAGACATATCCATTCGCAGACAGAGCGGCTGAGGCAGCAAGAGCAAAGAATCCTCCAGGCGAGTGTCTCCGACAGCTCTTTATGCCATATTCTTTAGATTTGGCTTCTATTTTTGATCACACGGATTGTAACAGTACATCAACTATTTTTCATCCAGGAGCGAACGCGGTTAAGTCATCTGCAGAAGGACACCAAGATGCCGAGACAAGCATCGTTTGCACAAATTACACCAGGCCTACCAGGTGAGGTCTTTATCCAGTTGACTATAATAAAGAGTAACCCAAAATGACCATTTGATCTGATACAACGGTTTTATTTGTATGTGTAGATTCAGTGTTGCCAAACCCCGAGCTGACATCTACCCTGATCTTTCCACCTCTGACTTCGTTGGCCAACTCTCAGTCCATGGCTCTCCAGGCTAGTCTGACTCTCTGGAAGTACACAGCAGAAAAGGTATCCACTGGAGTCTGATAGAAATGCCTTCATCAGGATTTCTTACTAGTATGAAAAAGTTATGTGATCATTTATATGGGTGCATAAGATTGAAAGTATTATTCTTCCATTTAACAAGTGACAGCCACAGTATCCAAGTTATGGTAAATGCAACTGAAGCTGGTCTAGACCTTAGAATGCATAAATACAATTAAAGCACCAAAAGATTGATATTGAGGTTTTTTAATGTCAATAGGAACAAAATGCCACAGTGGCTCACAGTCACATGTACATTTTAACATTGAGTTTCTCCACCTCCTCACCAGGACCGTGAATACCTCCAAGAAGAGCAAGTGTTCTTGGAGAATTTAAAGAAGAAATCTTACAGATCGACCTTCAACACAGATTGACCAATGCATGGTGGTTGCTCCCAGTAAGAGTCATGTTACTTTCGATGTGCCATTGTACTTAAATGTTTTGTACAAACAATTTTATTAAACACATTTTAGAGCAAACATTGTTTTTAATTTGTACACCAACAATTCTACTGCAGAGTCTGACTTCTGGATCAATCCAATCGGTTTCTCCATTTGTTCTGCAAGGAAACAAAAACATTTAAAACCAACTACGACAGTTAGCAAACTGTTTCTGCAGTCAAGCAATAGGTCCACACTTATGTTCAGACAGGGACAACTTTTTTCATCACCGGCTTGACTTTAAGTCAACATTAGCACTTGAAATTACCTGAGCAACTTTTCTCAGCACCAGAGGGACGTCACAGGCTTTCATTACTGATCAGGACCTGAAGGGAGAGATTTAACATCTAGATTATTAAGTGTTCAGATTATGCACCTCATAAACATGAAGGTTCAACAATTCTCAGAACAGCTTCAATCGTCAGTTTCGCATAAGACGGCACTTCCTATGCAGCAGTTATCGTCACTGAATAATTGGAAACATGGATGAAAGGCAGTAGGGTGGTACACACCTTTCACCAGGCCCGCATCATTTTCCACCGACCCAACGAGGACCCTCAAGAACCTAAAAAAATAATAAATTCTTTAGTGATAGTTCATCAGCAGTATGGGACTCTACAAGCAAGTACGCAGCTAGTCAGATACCATTGGTTTCAACACTTGTATTTCTGACAGGGATAACAGAATCATCATATAGACTGCATTGAGTCAATTATATAATGCACAGTAGGGTGGTACACACCTTTCACCAGGCCTCCTCATTGTCAGAGTGTCAACGAGGACCCACATGAACCTGAAAAGAGAAACTTCTTTAGTGATAGTTCATCAGCAGCATGAGACGCTACAAGTAAGTACGCAGCTAGTCAGATACCATTGGTTTCAACACTTGTATTTCTGACAGGGATAACAGAATCATCATATAGACTGCATGGAGTTAATTATTGAATGCACAGTAGGGTGGTACACACCTTTCACCAGGCCTCCTCATTTTCAGAGTGTCAACGAGGACCCACGTGAACTTTTCTCAGCACCAAAGGGACGTCATAGTCTTTAATTACTGATCAGGACCTGAAGGGAGACATTTTACATCTAGATTATTAAGTGTTTAGATTATGCACACCGTCAACATAAACCCTGAAGTTTCAAAAATTCTCAGAACAGCTTCAATCGTCAGTTTCGCATAAGACGGCACTTCCTATGCAGCAGTTATCATCACTGAATAATTGGAAACATGGATCAAACGCAGCAGGGTGGTACACACCTTTCACCAGGCCCGCATCATTTTCAGCCAGTCTCAACGAGGACCCTAACGAACCTGAAGAAAAAAAAGACACTTCTTTAGTGATAGTTCATCAGCAGCATGGAACTCTACAAGCAAGTACGCAGCTAGTCAGATACCATTGGTTTCAACACTTGTTATTCTGACAGGGATAACAGAATCATCATTTAGCCTGCATAAAGTCCATTATTGAATGCACAGTAGGGTGGTACACACCTTTCACCAGGCCTCCTCATTGTCAGAGTGTCAACGAGGACCCAAATGAACCTGAGCATCTTTTCTCAGCACCAGAGGGACGTCATAGTCTGTCATTACTGACCAGGACCTGAAGGGAGAGATTTAACATCTAGATTAAGTATTTAGATTATGCACACTGTCAACATAAACCCTGACGGTTTAACAATTCTCAGAACAGCTTCAATCGTCAGTTTCGCATAAGACGGCACTTCCTATGCAGCAGTTATCGTCACTGAATAATTGGAAACATGGATGAAACGCAGCAGGGTGGTACACACCTTTCAACAGGCCCGCATCATTTTCAGCCAGTCTCAATGAGGACCCTCATCTGAAAAAAATAAGAGAAACTTCTTTAGTGAAAGTTCATCAGCAGTATGGGACTCTACAAGCAAGTACGCAGCTAGTCAGATACCATTGGTTTCAACACTTGTATTTCTGACAGGGATAACAGAATCATCATATAGACTGCATAAAGGTAATTATATAATGCACAGTAGGGTGGTACACACCTTTCACCAGGCCTCCTCATTTTCAGAGTGTCAACGAGGACCCACGTGAACCTGAAAAGAGAAGCTTCTTTAGTGGCAATTCATCAGCAGCATGTGACTCCATAAGTAAGTATGCAGCTAGTCAGATACCATTGGTTTCAACACTTGTATTTCTGACAGGGATAACAGAATCATCATATAGACTGCATTGAGTCAATAATTTAAGGCACACCAGCTCGTCATTCTTACCTTTCATTACGAAGATGGACTTCGCATCTGTTGTAGGAAGATTAGCTTCATTCCGCATGAGGAAAAGTGCCTGTAAGGTAAAGGAAAACAAAATTATTAAGACATGAAATGGCGTAATTTAACAACTTAACTTAAATGCATGTTAAAAAGGAATGTGCCAGTGAATTTAATGCAAACAAACTTGTTCAAAATAGCGTACTTTTCAACTTAAGCCCAAATGGATTCAAGCACGTGTTGGCCTTAGTCAAGAAGAGCTAACGGCTAACGGTGAAAGCTAGCACAATTCCCATAAACCCACATACAGATTCTCACATTTAAGTATCATTATATCATCATAAAGTATTACCTTTTCAGGGTGGTTCGTCTGCAGCAAACTTCATATTTAGATATAGAAGCATCACGCCCTGTGAGAGCCACATGCTGCAGAGTGTAGCTTCAACGCAGACAGTGAAGGAGAACAGGAACGGAAGTCTCGCGTGGAGAGGCTTTTATAGGTTGGAAACGTCACATCCCACGTGACTACTAACTGGGTGTGGCAAAAAGTTTGTAAGTAACGTTACATCTCCATACACTAAGTAGGCTACTATTTAATCATAATAATGATATCAACTATATGAATCATATACGGAAAAACACTAATGTGTATGCACAAGCCTAATATGTGAGTAGCATACGTTATTTGTATCACATTAAACAAAAATAACTGTAGGCCTACATTTGATTTATTTCATTGACTTATTTTGTAAGGGAAAACAACATTTGCATAGCCTGAGCAAGGAATACATCTGTATTGGTCAATATAACCAATAGTTTAATTTGTAATTCATCAATTCATTATGTGTGCCTTTTTGGTGGAGTGTTCATAGTAGGCTTGAAAATTGACAATGTTTGTTTGGCCAAAATATTCTCTTCGATCTGGTTTCCTGTATATTTCCACGGGATCCACATGCTCTTGGACTATTATCTCTGTATCGCATGTGTCTTGTTCTATTCTTATTGCTGTTAATCTTGGCACAACTTCTGAAATATACTCAACCATACACACTGCTTCCTATTGCTCTGTCATGTCAAACAAATATTGATTTCACAGAAATTAGCATTTTTTAAGCCTAGTTTTTAATATTTGTTTATCTGCATTTTTATCATGTCTGTGCACCAATACGCGAAAGCAAATACAAACCTGTTTGACAATAACCCTGATGCAGGACAGTCAGCTGTGCTCCTCCTGCTCCATCACTGCCATTCCTCCTCCAGTCACTAGGGAGAGACTGTGGACTGGGGAAGCTGCTGCTGTCAGTCAGAGGGTCCCACAGCAGGCTGAGAGGAGTCTGCACCGCCATCCGCACACCGGCCTGCGGGACGCTCTCTCCGAGTCCACCCGGGATGGAGAAAGACGAAGCGGACCCATCCCGCCAGAGGAACGGGGCGGTGGGCGTGCTGTACGGGGAGTTCACGGACCCGCTCGACGACAGGGTCCGGTACTCGGTGAGCCTCACGGAGAGCGTCCTCAACGTGCAGAGGATCTGCTCCTCACCCGGCCGGAGCAAGGTGCTGTTTAACTTGACAGACTGTGTGGGCTGCCGGGCGTACAGAGGGCCGGACAGCGCGGACGTCGGCGCCTACTTTGCAGCCTATTTCTACCCGTTCAAGAGGCGCTGGATGAGCGCCGGAGTGGCCCGGCAGAGAGTGGAGCAGGGCTTTCGGGTGGCGCTGGTCCAGGACCCGCTCGCTAACCTCCAGGAGGCGGAGAGGTGGGCTCGGGCCATCAGAGATGCCTCCGTGCTGCAGGCTCCCCGGAGAGAAGGTGAGCACTGTGGGGACGATGGGTCAGTGAGCAGCGTGGAAATTAACATCAACTGTATATTACAAATAACTATAGGCCTATGTGTTACAACAGGGAAATGGGTATTATTATGATGTGAAGATGATTCTAGGTTCAAATCAAAGGTTTTATGACATATGCACAACATGTAGTTTTTGTTCATCTTAAGCATTAGGCTCCTCCAACAGTGCAACACAATACTTAGAAATAAGGAAGTCAAAGTGTGCAAATATAAAAACAATGCAAGTAGAGTAAAATGCAGGGATAACAAAAAGTATTCTGTACATGTAAGATAGATATAGTCAAATAATGTAAAGTGAAATACTGTAAAGTAGAATAATGTTATACTCTTAATACATAATGTGGAAATGCGAATTAAACACATGTACAGATAAACAGTGTATCAGAAGCTTATGCGAGTACGAGCTCAGGAGTTTAACAGTCTTGCTGCCTGAGGGATAAATCCCTGAATTGTATGAAACACCATCAACTTGGTCACAGTGGTATCCTATAAGACTATTCTGTAGGTTATCGTATTACTTTTTTTACAAAAGTCTTACAAAGTGAGCCAAAATGCAACCACAGCTCAGCTTTCTATTGCAAGCAGATTTGTCAGAAAGGATGTGCACATTCCATATGCTCTCAATAACCTGCTCTCAATAACCTGCTCTCAATAACCTGCTCTCAATAACCTGCTCTACCTGCCGTGAAAGGCAAGGCAAGGCAAGGCAAGGCAAGGCAAGGCAAGTTTATTTATATAGCACTTTTCAACACAAGGCAATTCAAAATGCTTTACAAAAAATGAAAGAGATTAAGAAAATGGCATTTCAAATCAGTCATTAAAAAGAAAAGCTAATAAAATAAACATTAAAAGAAAAAATACATGGATAAAAGTTACAGTGCAGTCTAAGATGTGAATAGTTCAATTAAAAGCAGCGACAAAAAGAAAAGTCTTCAGCCTGGATTTAAAAGTAGTCAGAGTTGCAGCGGACCTGCAGGTTTCTGGGAGTTTGTTCCAGATATTTGGAGCATAATAACTGAACGCTGCTTTACCATGTTTAGTTCTGACTCTGGGAACAGAAAGCTGACCAGTCCCTGAAGACCTGAGAGATCTGGATGGTTCATAATTTAGCAGGAGGTCAGAAATGTATTTTGGGCCTAAACTATTCAGTGCTTTATAAACCAGCAGCAGTATTTTGAAATCTATTCTTTGACACACAGGAAGCCAGTGTAAAGACTTCAGAACAGGACTGATGTGATCCACTTTCTTAGTGTTAGTGAGGACTCGAGCAGCGGCGTTCTGAATCAGCTGCAGCTTCCTAATATATTTTTTAGTGAGACCTGTGAAGACACCATTGCAGTAGTCGAGTCTACTGAAGATAAAAGCATGGAAAAGTTTTTCCAAATCCTGCTGTGACATTAGTCTTTTAATCCCAGATATATTCTTTAGGTGATAGTAGGCTGATTTAGTAACAGTTTTAATGTGACTGTTGAAACTCAGGTCAGAGTCCATGACTACACCTAGATTTCTGGCTTTATCTGTTGTTTTGAACATTGCAGACTGAAGCTCAGCACTAACTTTTATACGTTGTGCCTTGGCTCCAAAAACCATTACCTCAGTTTTATCTTTGTTTCATTGGAGAAAGTTCTGACACATCCAGTCATTGATGTGTTCAATGCACTTACTCAGTGTTTGAATTGGAGCATAGTCTCCTGGTGAAATTGTTACGTACATTTGTGTGTCATCTATGTGTTTGTGTGTCATCTATGGTAACTTATTTTGTTGTTTTTCATTATCTGAGCCAGTGGTAGCATGTAGACGTTAAAGAGAAGAGGCCCCAAGATGGAGCCTTGAGGTACCCCACATGTCATATTTGTCAACTCAGATGTGTATTTACCTATAGAAACAAAGTTGTTTCTGTCCTTTAAGTAGGATTCAAACCAATTCAGAACTGTTTCCGAAAGTCCCACCCAGTTTTCCAGTCGGTCTAGTAATATGCTGTGGTCAACAGTGTCAAACGCAGCACTGAGATCTAATAATACTAACACTGAAGTTCTGCCACTGTCTGTGTTTCAGTGGATGTCATTAAAGACCTTTACAAGAGCAGTCTCAGTGCTGTGGTTTGGACGAAAGCCTGACTGGAACACATCGAAACAGTTATTTAAATGCAAGAAATTACTCAACTGTTGAAAAACAACTTTTTCAATGATTTTACCTAGAAATGGGAGGTTTGATATGGGCCTGTAATTGTTCATTACTGAAGCATCTAGATTATTCTTTTTTAAGAGCGGTTTAATGCAGTTTTCAGGGCCTGTGGAAAAATACCTGAGTGAAGAGATGTGTTTACTATATGAAGTAGATCTGAGGCCATGCAAGGCAAAACATTTTTGAAAAACCCTGTAGGAATAATATCAAGGCAGCAGGAGGAGGATTTCAGAAGTTGAATAATGTCCTCTAGGTTTTTATCATTAATCTGATGGAACTGTGTCATGATGTCTGAATTGATGTTAAGTGGAGATAGGGACAACACATCTGCTGTTCCTGATGCAGAGGCACTGACTGCTTGTCTGATTTTCTGAATTTTGTCAGTGAAGAAGGAGGCAAAATCATTGCACGCCCTGGTGGATAGAAATTCAGAGGCTACTGACACTGGGGGGTTAGTTAGTCTGTCGACGGTAGCAAACAAGGCACGTGCGTTGTTTTTGTTTTTGATAATGATGTCAGAGAAGAACGATTGTCGTGCGTTTTTCAATTCCAAATTATAAAGGCCAAGTCTCTCTTTATAGATTTCAAAGTGAACCTGGAGATTTGTTTTTCGCCACCTGCGTTCAGCTTTTCGACATTCTCTTTTTTCTGTTTTCACGGTCATGACCTTTCTCCATGGAGATATTTTCTTGCCAGACACTTCCTTTACCTTAGTTGGAGCAATGGCATCTATAACATTTTTAGGGGCAAGTGTGGAAGAAAAATTCTGAGTAAACATTTCCCTAGTATTTTCAGTTAAATATCGCTTTGTGGTTACCTCTTTTTGAACATTTTTGTGAACATAAATAGAGCTCTCAAAGAAAACACAGGAATGGTCAGAGAGGGCAACATCAGTCACCACAACCTTAGAGATATTCAGACCCTTTGAGATAATTAAGTCCAGAGTGTGCCCCTTATTGTGCGTGGGCTCCGTCACATGCTGAGTTAGTCCATAGTTTTCTTTTTTTTTTAATTCTTTATTTATTTGGGGTCACATTATAATACAAGTACAGTTTTTCAAATCATATATTTTTAGAGACCCGAAAGTGACAAATGAAATAGCAAACAAAATTAGTCAAAATAAAATAAAAACGAAAAAGTACACAGGGGTTGTTTGAAATAGCAAATGTCTACACATGTACATATGCATTCATATCAACATGCATATATGCATACAATACACACACACATACATGTGTCCATACATACACATCTATATACATTCAATCGGTGTATAGGAACAGTCAAACAAGGGATGGTCGTCTTTGGGATATGTAAATTCTCCACTTTTTCCATATTTCCTCAAATGTGTTTTCCTGTAGCCTCATTGAGAATGTGATTCTTTCCATGATATAGATTTCATGGATTTTGTCATACCAGTTGTCAAGAGAGGGGATGTCTGCTTTGAGCCATTTTCTAGTTATTGCTTTTTTTGCTGCAACAGTAAGAATTCCAAATAATTGTTTTGTTTTTAAGTTTGAGGGGATTGAATGTACGAGCCCAAATAGAAATTCGTCCCAGTTTAATGGGATTTTTTCCTGTAGTATTATTTCAATTTCTACATGGATCTTTTGCCAAAAAGTTACTATTAAAGGGCAAGTCCAAAACAAATGGTAGTGATGTGCTAACTGAGAACCACATTTCCTCCAGCAGCTGGGGGGCCCTAGCTGATGTGATGACTGGGCAGGGCTGAAAAAATACCTGCTCAGCATCTTCCAGTCCATAGTTTTCAAGAACACAAAACAGTTCTTTAGCCCCTCTGTCCTGGGGGTTGTCAACATGGATGTTAAAATCACCAACAATGACTAGACGGTCAAAGTCAATACACACTATAGACAGCAGTTCAGTAAAGTCATCAAAAAAGCTTGCACAGTATTTGGGTGGTCTATAGATATTTAGGAACAGAGCTCGAGAGGAGCATTTCAGCTGAAGGGCCACATATTCAAAAGAATCAAAGTTTCCATATGATGTCTTCCTGCATTGAAGGGAATCATTGAACAGAATAGCAACTCCACCCCCTTTCTTATGCATTATTTCCTGACTCATAAAACTAAAGTTGGGAGGGGTTGATTCGATAAGAACAGCTGCACTGTTATTTTGTTCAATCCAAGTTTCTGTTAAAAACATAAAATCGAGATTGTGCTCAGTGATAAAATCATTGATTAAAAATGTTTTTCCTGCCAAAGACCTGACATTTAATAAAGCTAGTTTAAGTTTGTTAAACACACTATCAGTCATGTTTTTTGTAACAAGCTGTGGCTGACATGGAATCACTGCTAAATTAGATAAACTCACACAAACGTTTGAGCGCTTCCTGTTTCTATGATTCACCGCTCTTAATCTATTACCTATCAACACAGACATCGGCAAAGCTACTGGCAGGCAGGGCCCCGACATGTCCTGGAAAGAGTTGAGAGTGCCATACGTCCTTGAGCCTGGACCCATCACATATCAGTAAGAGTTTGTTGTGTTTTGTACACACACATCCTTATCAGGCTTCGGAGACTGCAGATGCTTTCTTGAAGGGAGGGGAGGTGGTTGACGTAGGCACGGTGATGGAGACGGGCGAGATGGTGCTGGGGTAGAGGACATGCTGCCAGGGGGGGGGAGGTGGTTGACGTAGGCGCGGTGATGAGGACGGGGGAGATGGTGCGCGTCTCTGCAGTGATTTTGGTGGGCGTCGTTGAGGAGCGGGGATAAAGGACATGCTGCCAATCCTGCGTATCGCCTTCGTTTG